GGGGGGGGGGGCACGCCGGCGGCTTGGGAGCCGGCGGCGGCGCGGGGCGCCCGTCCGGCGTCTTTGTCTTGAGAGTGTGGTTGGGTGGGGTCCTGGCTCGCACGCGCTCCCGGAGGGAGGCGCGACTCCTGCGCGGGTGGGTGTGGCAACGAGGGTCGAGTGGGCGGGGCGGAGGGCGGTCGCTTCGGCGCTCAAGTCCGTCGCGTCTCTCTCCCTCGCCTCTCTACTCAGCTCTCTTCTCTCTCTCCGCTCCCTCCAGAGCTCCACGCTGAGTTGGTGCTGTCTTGGGCCCAGGGGTAGCACACAGGCCAGGCTGCCGCCAGGCAGGACTACTCTCGTCAGGAGACCCTGTCGTTAGCTATACTGTCGTTGGGACATAGTATGTGTCGCGTTTTGGGCGGGCGCGGGCGGTCGAGTAATCACAGTGAGCTTATTCTGAAACAGAGAATGCACATTGATTGAACTGAAATACCTTCTACTAGATGGTGCTTCCTAGAGCGTGAATTTCCGCGAGGACTGGCCAAAAGCGAGGCCCGGGCCGCCTGTGGCCGCGACCGGGTTGCCGATGCCGCCCGGGCGGTACGACGCCGGGTTGGTGATCGCACCGGGCGCGTGCGGCTCGCGCATCCCCTCAACGCTGCGGAGGGACTCGAGGCCCTGGCCAGCGCCGGCGCGGAGCGCCTCAGCCGCCGCCGCCGTGCCGCCGCCGGCCGCCGCGGCGCTGCTGCCGTTGCGCTCGAGGAATTGCTGCGGCGGCGCGGGGCGCGCGAGGCCGAGCTTGTCGTACCGCGCCTTGGAGAAGCCGTTGCCCGACCAGAGCCACTCGGTGAAGGCGGTGAGGGTCCCGTCCCCGTCGCCGCGCCGCGCCGCGAGCTGCGAGTCCCAGCAGAAGAGGCCGCCCGCATTATCGGAGCGAACCTCCTTGTCGCCGTACACGCCGCTCTCGCCCTCGACGCGCCTTCCGCCCGCGAGCGCGCGGCCAATGAGCGGCAGCGCCGGCAGCAGCGGCCCGAGCGGCGAGGCGCGCAGCGTGTCGAGCGTGACGGTCGTCTGCGCGAAGGAGCGCGAGCAGTTCTCGCCGTGCTGGTTGTGCAGGCAGATGCCCGTCCGGTCCCGGTGAAGGGCGACGCGCCTGCCGCCGCCGCGCACGCGTTTGAGGATGTCCTGGTCCTCGCCCCACGAGGTGGCCGCGAACGAGAACGCGGGGAAGAGCTTCCGCCGGTACAGAAAGGAGAAGCCGTACGTGTAGAGAAACTGCTCCGTCAGCGGCGCGAGCGACGGGTGTGGCATGCCCGCCTCGGCGTCGAAGTGGCCGGTCGCGCCCGTCTGCAGGTCGTGGACGAACCACGCGCTCAATTTGACAAAGTCGGCGCCCGCGTCGTCGAGCGCGGCCAGCATAGTCGCCAGGTAGCTGGGCGCGTACAGGTCATCGTCGTCAAAGTGGCAGATGAAGTCGCCCGAGGCGGCGGCGATGGCGACGTTGCGCTTCTCGCCGATGGTCATGTGCCCGACCTGGTGGATGTACTTGACGCGCCTACGTGGCGAGTCGCGCGGGCGCGCGGGAATGCAGCGGGGCGGAGGCGCGCCCTCCCTCGGCGGGCTGCGGCACGCCGGTCTTCAAACTCTGCCGACGAGAAGAAGGCCGACGGGGTCGGGCCCGTGTCCACGACGACGAGCTCCGTGTGCGGGTGGGTCTGCGCGGCGAAGCAGCGGTAGAGCGCGCTCTCGTGGAAGAGGTGCCGCTCCGGCGTCGTCGGAGCGATGCAAGAGATCACGCGGCGGCCTCCCGCCCTCCCCGACGCCGCCCCCGCAGCTTCCGAGGCGGCGGTGGTGGCGGCGGCGCCGCCGCCGCCGCGGACGGGGCCGGAAGCGGCCTCCACGGTCCTGCGGAGCCGAGCGACCGCTGAGTCGTCCAGCGGCAGCTCGCCCAGGTCCCTTCGCGCCGACGAGTGGTCTCCGACCTCGACAAAGGCGGTGGCGCGCCGGAAGAGCGCCTTGCGGCGCGTCTCGCTGCCGATGGCCGTCAGGGTGAGCGCGGCGGTGCAGTCGTTGATGGCGGCGGTCCAGTCGGTTGCCTTGAGCGCCGCCGCCGCCCGGTTGGTCAGCAGCGTCGCGCGGCCCGCGTTGTCGCCCAGCGGAAGCGAGGAGAGGGCGGCTCCGTACGCCGCTCGCGCCTCGGCCACCCGGCCCGCCTTGAAGTGGCCGTTCCCCTCGGCACGCAGCGCATCGGCGCGCTCCGCCGAGGGCGCGCCGCCACCGCCTGAGCCTCCGTCCTCATTCTCCTCGAGCATCGGGCCCTCGCTGTCCGATGTCCTACCAGCTGCGTTGTCTTCTAGGACGAGGTCGTCGGACGAGTCGCTCTCAGCCTCATTCTCCTCGAGCACGAGCGGCTCATCGTCGTCGTCGTCGTCGTCGTTCTCCTCGAGGATGAGCTCGTCGTCGTTCTCCTCGAGCGTCAGCTCATTCTCCTCGAGGGTGAGCGACCCGTCGTCCTCACTGGAGGCTGCGGCGGTGCAGCCCTTGCAGCGCCGCTCGCCGGCCGGCTTTGCGAGCTGCGCCTTTGCGAACATATCCGCGTTCTTTCCCTCACGGCCACACGCGGCACATCGTGGCATGCTCGCGGGCGTGTGGGCGTGGAGGTGAAGAGAGATGGCACGACACTCGCACACAGCTCGCTCTGTGGTCCCGAAAATAAAAAGGGTGAGGCTGAGTGCGCTTCCTAGCTCCCTGGCCCTTTTGTGAGGTTACCAACTGCACTCCCAAGTGCTCCAAGAGACTGAGACTGTGAAGAGAAGAGGGAAAACAGACTAATTCAGCTGTGTGGCTGGCGGGGGCCGGCCTGTGCCGTTCGGCGTAGTCGCGTAGAGAGCGCTCTCTCTCTCCTCGAAATGGAAATAAATGAAAAGCTTGAGGGCACGCCGCGGCCGCGCAGCCGCAGGCGGCAAGTGCTGAGCGCGGGGCGGTCTCGAAGCGCGCCAACGGCGGCTCTCGTCACTCGTTCAGCGGCACCGGCGCCGGCGCCGGCTCCGCCCGTCGCGTGAGGCGCAGCAGGTAGTGGGGCAGGCGCTGGCACACCTCCCCCGCGATGAAGACCGTGAGCGTGATGTTGAGCGTGCGCCATCCCGCGCCGCGCATCAGGGCGCCGATCCCTCCCTCGGCGATCAGGTTGCGGCAGGTGGAGAGGGGGTCGCGGTGCACGGCGCGCGCGAGGTCGCCCTGCATGCACGTCTTGACGACATCCATCGGGTGCGAGAAGACTCCGCCGGCGACGCCGCCGACGGCCGAGGCGCAGAGGCTAGCGGCGGCGGGCGGGAGCTCGTGGCCCTCGATGAGGCGTCGCCGGACCTGCGGCGGCGCGGCGGCCGGAAGCTGTCACGCAGCCTCGCGTCGCAGCCTCGCGTCGCAGCCTCGCGTCGCAGCCTCGCGTCGCAGCCTCGCGTCGCAGCGGCGGGCTCCACCGCGCGAAGAGCGCGGCGCGGCGCGGCGTGTCTAGTGCGCGGGCGCGTCTCTCCGCGACTGCGCGCCACGGGAGTGAGTCCGAGCATGCAGCCGACGTAGATCGAGTCGCGCAGCGCGGCGAGACCCAGCCCACGGTAGAGGCCGTCGAGCGCACCGTGCCGCCGCACGATGTCGAGAGGCGTCTGCAGCAGCGAGGTGCCGAGCAGCTGCTGCTGCACCATGACACACTCGAACGGCGTCACAAGCAGAGCACCGACCGCGCCGCCCCCGACGGCGCCCGCAATCTCGCGGGCGGCCGAGGACGAGGCGTCGCCGCCCGCCTTCATCCGCCCGGCGGCGGCGAACTGCAGCGCCATCTCCGACGTCTCCTTGAGCAGGTTGGCGCCGCAGCCGCGAAAGAGCAGGGACGGCCGCAGGGTGAAGGGCAGGCCCTGCCGCGGGGCTGGGCGCGGAGTTGGGAGCGAGGCTGCCGCACTGGCGCGGGGAGGGATGGCTCCTGCTCGCCTGGGCGGCAGCGTTCTTCCAGTAGAGCGTCGGCTGGAGGGTGACGGCGACGCAGCCAGCGGAGGCAGCGCCAACGGCGGCGTTCTCGAGCTCCGTCATGCCCTCCATCTGCTAGTCTGCTCCCTTCTTTAAGGGACCCGGGCCCACGGAAGCGCCGACGCGCGGGAACAAGACCTGCAGCGTTTCTTATCCCCGCTTTTTCTTTTTCCCTCTGCGCCATAATCTTGGTCGGGGACGGCTGCCGACCGGCCCTTGCAACTGCTTCTCAAGCACGTTGGCTGCAAGTGGCATCTCCAAGCGCAAGCCTCACCAATTCGTTGGCGTCCGCGCCGTCGCCGGTGTACCGAGCGACTGGCCGGTGTCGTTTGACTCGGAGGGCAAGCCGGACACGCTGCCGGAGATGCCCGTGCAGCGCGACATTGCGGAGGGCGACGACATGGGCCTTGGCAAGACAATAATGGCGCTCGCCGGTTTCGCCGTGCGCGCCTACATTGAGGCCCGACTCGGCCGGCAGGCGAAGCCGGCCCTCGTCGTCGCGCCCAACGCGGCGGTGGCGGCGCAGTGGCGGCTGGAGGCGCTGGGCATGCTCGAGGAGCGCGAGATCTGGTCGCACTCAGGCGAAAAGTTCGGCCAGGCCTTGCACAAGCGCTTCTCTCGGCCGGCCGGCGAGGACGAGGACGAGGCGACGCGGCCGCGACTGGCCATTGTCACGCGCAGCCAGCTGCAGACCGAGATGTCGCACGCGTTCCGCTCACAGCGCGAGGCCGGCGGCTACAAGCCCTCGCCGCTCGCGCCGCACCTACTGCAAAAGACGGTGCTCGCGCTTCAGCAGAAGTACGACCACGCGAACATCAAGGGCGGCATCCAAGAAGGGCAGCGGCAAGGCAGCGGCAACCGAACGGGCGAGGACCGGATGTACGTGCGCGAGGACCACAAGGACGGCGACGACTCGACGCCCAGCGGCGGCGTGCTCGCCATCTGGCGCGAGGCGCAGAAGCGCTTCACGCGCGCGCAGCACATCTACTCGATCGTCCTCATCGACGAGGTGCACGAGCTCAAGAACCCGCACACCCTCGCGACGATGCTCGCCGTCGCCGCCGGCCTCCACGCGCCGCGCGTCATCTCGAGCTCCGGCACCGGCTACAACAACCACCTGCAGGACATGGCCACGCTGCACCTGCTGATCGACCCGTCGTGGATTTACGCCGACCTGCACTTTTGGAAGGACATGATGGAGTCGCCGGACAAGGTCATCGGGCGGCAAGCGATCGAGGCTGATCGAGGCGCAGCGCGCGCGGGCGGAGGGGCGGGCGGTGCCGCAGCAGTTGAGCCTGCGGCGGATCGAGGAGAAGCAGGCGGTGGACAAGGAGGCGTGGGAGCGCGACGTGCTCACGCGCCGCACCAAGGACAGCTGCGGCATCAAGCTGCCGCCGAAGAAGCACGTCGTGTACGAGCTCGCGTACAAGCCGCTGGAGCTCGGGATGAGCGTGACGCTCTCCCTGACGCTCGCGGCGCCGGCGCGACGCGGCCACTCCGTGCGCGTGGCGCTCTTGCAGACCATCGCGGGTGGTGGCGGCGAGGGCAGCGGCGGCGGCGGCGAGGGCAGCGGCGGTGGCGGCGGCGAGGGCAGCGGCGGCCACGGCGGCGAGGGCAGCGGCGGCGATGGCGGCGGCGGAGGCGACACCACGACCGCGGTGGAAATCGGGGTGCTCACCGCCAACGACGACGCGCCGCGCCCATCCAGCGCGAGATCGGGCTGCTGGGCGATGAGCACACGCTGCGCTTCGAGGTCTTTGACGCGCAAGGCGCCAAGGTGCACACGCAGACGACGAGCGTCGCGACCATCGCGAAGCACGCCTTCCAGCTGATGGAGAGCGAGCTGATGAACATAGCGGTGGAGGCCGCCAGGCAGAGCGCGGCGGCGAGCGCAAGCGCGGCGACGGTCGCCGCCGCCGACGAGGCCAAGGAGGCCAAGCAGCGCGTGCTCGAAAAGGCGGCGAAGACGTTCGTGCTGCTGGCGGCCGACGACGACCGCGGCGTGACCGTCTTGGCGGCCTTCTCGTGCGACGTCCTGCCGCACTCGTAGACTCGTACCTGCAGCACGAGAAGGAGTTCCTCAAGATCCTGCCCCTGTACGACAACGCGCGCAAAAGGCGTGCGCGCGCGGCGGCACCTTCGGCCAGCGCGCGGAGACGAAGCAGATGGAGAAGACCCTCTTCCAGATCCTGATGGCGAAGGTGACGAATATGCAGATGGCCCTCTCGCACCCGGTGCTCGTGGGCAAGGGGCGCGAGCCTCGGTCCTCTTTGCCTCACGCGCCCAGCAGCCCAAGGCCAAGTTCTGCGCCATCTGCAAGCCCGAGGCGCGCGACGTGAGCACCGACAAGACCGACGCCGACCTCGACCCCAGCAAGGACAAGGACACGGACGACGAGGCGGAGGACGACGCCAAGGACGGCAGCCGCCGCGAAGAGCGTCGCTTCGACACGGACGAGAAGGCGTACACGCGCCAGGAGTTTATCGACGATGCGTGGCCTGAGCACTGGCGTCTGGCGCCCAAGGAGGAGGACGACGACGAGGGCATCGACGCGGCTGGCGACGGCGACGGCGGCGCGGGTGGCAGCGAGGACTTCAACGAGATGCAGGCGGCTGGGGACGCGATGGAGGACGATGGCGAGGAGGGCGGCGACGCGGCGGCGCGACCCTGCGCGGCGTTCGACGGCCTACAACCTGCTCGAGCGCGAGCAGTACGCTTCGACGGCGAGGTGAAGGACAAGTCGAAGGCGCTCGACCGAGCACGCGAGCCTGAGGTCAAGGCGCTCCTCTCGACCATCCGCAGCGGCGGCGTTGGCCTCAACCTGCAGGAGTTCAACCACGTCGTCTTCGAGTCGCGCGACCTCAACCCTCAGAAGCACAAGCAGGCCGAGGACCGCGTGCACCGCCACGGTACGTGATCGTCCGACGCGCCCGTTTACGCGTTCGCACTCGCTGTGCTAACCCACGCTTTCGGTCCTGCGCTTCGCAGGCCAGGAGAAGGATGTGACGGTCGTGTACCTCGACGCCAAGGACACGTTCGACGAGGCCGTCCGCGAGCTGATGAGGCGCAAGCTCGACAACGCGCAGGCGATCCTCGACGGCAAGCTGCTGCCCAAGGCGAGCCTGCCGTCCTACAAGGACGTCGTCGGCAAGATGGGCGAGGTGCTGCGCAAGGTGATCGCGCGCCGCGCGGGCCGGTCGGAGGACGCGCTCCTGCCGAGACGGCAGCGCCGAAGCGGCCGCTCGCCGACGGCGGCCCCAGCGGCCGCAGCAAGATGAAGAAGCGCGACGGCCCCGGGGGCGATGTGCGACCGACCACCTCGAACCCCAACACGGCGGCGCTGGCCAGCGATTACCACCGGTGGCAGGTGAAGGCGCCGCCGCCGAAGGCGCCGCCGAAGGCGCCGCCGCCGAAGGCGCCGCCGCCGCCCATCGGCAAACGCCCGTCCGCGTCCGCGTCGGCGGCGTCGTCGTCGGCACCCCCGTCGGCGCGGCTGTCGGCGCCGTCCGAGGCGGTGAAGAACTCGCTGCCGCCGCACCGCCGCGTGAGCCGTCGGCTCAAAGACAAGGGCGTCGCCAAGGACCGCTTCACGCAGGCGCGGATCGAATCCGTACTCGCCGCGACGGGTGGCGACGTGGACGAGGCGGTCGCGCTCCCGCAGCTGGTCGCGGAGGCCGCAGGCAAGGGCGGCGGCAGCGAGGTCTTCATCATCTCGAGCTCCGACGAGGACTAGAGGACGAGGACAAGAGGTGAGAGTACTACATACACACACGTACTACTCCGAGCTGCGCGAGCGCAACAAGCAGCGCGCCGTCAGGTAGGGGGGTGGCGGTATTTATTGGAGCCGGTCGGTCGTCGCGGTGTGAATTCCTGACGACATACGTTTGTAGGATAATATTAGCCCACTCGGATGATTTGTATGTGCAGGAAGGCGGTGAAGAGAACAGTCCGCTGTGGAACAGTCAGGCTCCCGGACGCCGGAGCGGACGGCTGGCGGACGGTCCACGGAACACGAGCGCGTATCTTGACCGCTAAAAAGAAAGAAAAGAAAAGAAAGAAAGAAAACGTACAACCCAAAGGAGGGATGGGAGGACTTAGAAAGAAAACAGACAACCCAAGGGAGGCCGCTAAAATTCTTTTCCCGTTGATATCAGATATGAACAAAGTATATGACCGTTCAGCGTGCTTATCCGTTCTTCTGCGCTACGCCGTCGTAGTCTTTCTTCCTCTCCTTGGCGTTGAGCCACTTCGCCTTCGCCGGCGACTTGACGGCCTTGACCGGGGTCAGCTCCGGCCTGTACTTGTAGACCGTGCAGGGCTTGTTGCGCGGGCCGGCATTCACCTTCACAACTCCTCCCTCCTCCGTCGTGACCGTCACGGAGGCGCCAGCTGCGATCTGGCTCGCAGCAGGCGAGGCAGCCAGTGCGAGGCTGCCGATGCTGAACGCCTCGACGGCGCCGTCCTGGAACCGCACCGACGCCTTGCGGAGTTCGCTCTTGGCGTGATCGACCTTGACCACCGTGCCAGACTGGCCCAAGCGAGCGGGGCGCTGGAGTGCTACAAACTGCGGGGTCCTTGATTTGGACAGCACGCCGCTGACAGTCAACTTGCTTCTGCGTTGACTCGAGCCCGGATGAAGGCTCTCGTCCAACACATGGCCCATCTCCTTCAGCACGGCGATCACATCGTGAGCGGTGCCCTGCTGGTTGGGCAGACGCTGCATCGCGCTGGTGACTTCGTCCACCCAGTTGATGCTCCGGTCCCGCGGCACGCCAGCACTTCCTTGGCCCATCGGCGCGAACTTTGGATTCATCAGCCGCTGGCCTCGGTTTGCGACTGCTTGCTCGCTGCGCCCCAGCGAGCGTGCGATGCTGCTGTACGCCTCGCCTCCCGTCTTCCGCCGCTTGATCGCCGCATCCTCGTCCTCGCTGTAGTTGCCCACGCCGGGCTTGAGGCCCGACCCCTCAAGCACCTTGACCTTGCGCTCCAGCAGCCGAGACACGCGCGTCCACCGCTCCCGCTTTTTGCCGCCATCGCGCTCAATCGAGAGGTGGAGTACGTTTCGGTCCTGCTTTCGCCGCCGCCGCACGTGCGACGGCGGCGCAGCGCCGGCGGGAACGACGGTGACCGTTGCCTTACGCTTGACAGGCTTTTTCAGCCGTGTGTACTCCACGCGGTTGCCGTCGTAGAAGCAGCTCGAGCTCATGGAGGACGCGAAGCCGCCGATTTTCAAAAAGAGAAAAAAGACGGGGTTGCAGCACTTGGTCCTCCCATCCCTCCCTTGGGTTGACTGTTTTCTGTCTTTCTTTCTTTGGAGTGCACTGATTGCCTCGTAAAATTCTTTTCGCGACCGGCGCTGCTTGGCCCACCATGATCTCCCGCAAAGGGCATCACGACCCTTCGCCGCGAAGAAAGAGTTAATAAAAATCTCTCTCTCTCTCTCACCGCGCGGCGTGAGGATGACGTTGAGGCTCACCACCCACGCCACCCGCCCAAATCTACCGCCCGGCCGCCGAGGCGGCTGCTCATCATTGCGGCGGTGGCATGCAGCCTCTGGTATCTGTGCATGCAGTACATGGTGCAATCGCACGCGCCGGCTGCGGAACCACGGGCTAGCTCTGACCTCGACATGTATTCGGAGCCGCCGGTCCAGCGTACCAGCGACGTCCCGTGCCTGCGGTCGCCTCGGTCCCTCCCGCGGCGCAGCCGTCGCCAAAGGTGGCAGGCTCCCAGCCTACGCCAGCAGTCGCCGCGCAGTCGCCGCGCAGCCGATGGGAGGACATGTCGCTTCGGTTTCTTCTTTTGTCGTGCGAAAAAAGAAAGAAAGGCGGGCCAAGGGAAGGATTGGAGGACGGCACGCCGCCACCATAAGGGAATTTAAGTACCAGGCGTTCCCTCGTTTCCGAAGACTCTTTCAAAAGAATTCTTTTTGCCTGATCGCCGCGACATGGTTCGCCGGGCCGCGCGCCTCGCGCGCCTCTCCCGCTGGGTGGCCCCCGGCCGGCTGGGCGGCACGCGACGGCTGTCCACCGCGCCGGTGATGAGCATCGCCGGGCAGAGCCGGGATGGCAAGGCCATCTACCTCGACTCGCAGGTCAGCGCCTCCGCCCGTGAGGCTGGGGGCGTGCCTTTCGAACCCACCGTGCCCGTCGCAGGCGACAACCCCGATGGACCCGCGCGTGCTGGATGCGATGCTTCCCTTCCTGTCCGGCCAGTTTGGAAACCCGCACTCGAAGACCCACGAGTACGGCTGGGAGGCGGAGAGTGCGTCCGAGGCGGCGCGCGAGCAGGTGGCGAGCCTCGTCGGCGCGGACAGCAAGGAGATTGTCTTCACATCGGGCGCGACCGAGTCGAACAACATGGCGATCAAGGGCATCGCCCACTTCTACGGAGAGAAGTGCGCTTCGCGTTCCACGCCGCCACAAGCCGCGCGCTCGCCCTCACCCGGCAGCGCCCTCTCTCGGCTCGCCTCCTGCCTCAGAGGGGAGACGGCCGCCCTCGCCCCGCCGCAGGAAGCGGCACATCATCACGACGCAGACGGAGCACAAGTGCGTCCTCGACTCGTGCCGCGTGCTGCAGCAGGAGGGCTTCGAGGTAGACTACCTCCCCGTCAAGCAAGACGGGCTGGTCGACCTCGAGCTGCTCCGCTCTCTCATCCGGCCAGACACGGCTCGCGCCCTCCCGCCACTCCACCGAGCGCCCGCCCCACCGAGCCCGCCCCGCCCACAAGCCCGCCCCGGCCCGCAAGCCCGCCCGACCCCTCCCCTCCCCTCCCCGCCCCTCTCCCCTCCTGCCCCCTTGGGCCGGCGGCCACCTTCGCCCTCGAGTGTGCCGCACCCCCTCCGCACCCCCTCCCCACCGTCGGACCTCGCCGGACCTCACACAGGCGCTCGTCTCCGTCATGTACGTCAACAACGAGATCGGCGTCATCCAGCCCGTCCGCGAGATCGGCCAGCTCTGCCGCGAGAACAAAGTCTTCTTCCACTGCGACGCTGCGCAGGCGCCCCGCACCCCCCGCCCAAACCCCTCGCCGCTCCCTCCCCCCCGACCGCATCGACGGGCCCCTTCCCCGCTTCCCGCCTGTCGCCGCTGCCGCCCTCGCCACCGCGCCTCACCACCGTGCCTCGCCGCCGCGCCCTCAACCGCCGCGCCCTCAACCGCCGCGCCCTCAACCGCCGCGCCCTCAACCGCCGCGCCCTCAACCGCCGCGCCCTCACCGCGCGGCAGGCCGTGGGCAAGATCCCGCTCGACGTCAACGAGCTCAAGATCGACCTCATGTGCCGCCGCGCTCCGCTCGGCCGCCGGCGCTGCTCCGCGTCCCCCTCCTCACAGCGATGCGTGTGGGCAGGTCCATCTCTGGCCACAAGCTCTACGGCCCGAAGGGGATCGGCGCGCTGTACGTGCGGCGGCGGCCGCGCGTCCGCATCGAGCCCATCTTCTCGGGCGGCGGGCAGGAGCGGGGCATGCGGTCGGGCACGCTGCCGCACTCGCTCGTCGTCGGCTTCGGCGCGGCGTGCGACATTGCGGGGTGCGCGCGCCGCACACTCGTGCAGCGTGTCGCGCGGCGTGTCGTGCGGCGTGAGCGCGTGAGCCGTCCGCGGCTCTCTGCGCAGGCGCGAGCTCGAGGCGGACACGGCGCACATCGCTCGCCTGTCTGCGAGGCTGGAGCAGGGCCTCGTCAGCCGCATCCCGCACGTGGCGCGTCACACCCTCCCACCCGTCACCGACTCCCACCCGTCATCGCCCAATGCTCGGCTTCGGGCCCGTTCTCTCGCGGCGTGCGCAGGTGATCAACGGGTCGACCGAGTCGCGCTACAAAGGCAACCTCAACATCTCCTTCGCCTACGTTGAGGGCGAGTCCCTCCTGATGGCGCCCAGCACCGCGCCGCCGCCGCCTGCCCGCCCAGGGGCCTCCCCCCGGGACCCGTCTGCGAAATGCCCTGCAGGCGCTCAAAGACATGGCCGTCTCCTCGGGCTCGGCGTGCACCTCCGCCTCGCTCGAGCCCTCGTACGTCCTCCGCGCGCTCGGTGCCGACGGGAGGGAGCGGCGGAGCTCAACCGGCCGCGCCGCCCCCCCCCTCGAGCCGTGCCTCTCCCGCGGCGGCCGTAGGTGTCGACGAGGAGATGGCGCACACCTCAATACGCTTCGGCATCGGCCGCTTCACCACCGAGGCCGAGGTCGACTACGCGGTCGAGAATTGCGTCAAGCACGTCGAGCGGTTGCGCGAGATGTCTCCGCTGTGGGAGATGGTGCAGGAGGGCATCGACCTCAAGTCGATTCAATGGTCGCAGCACTAGCGGCGCGCATACGCTAGCCCCCCCCCCCACCCGCCCACAAAGGTTCTCCACCCCTCCACACGTGACTTTCCTCACACGTTCGCCAGATGCCCCATTGAAACACTCTCTGTTGTGCAGTTAGAGAGCGGAAGCGGAACGGCTGACATGCCGAGTCCTGAGAGAATCTCTGGCGCGACACACGTGAGGTGACAGGTGTGTGTTTCTCACCAGAGACTCGGACGAGCCATCTCGTTCTTTCATCCTCGTGCTTTTGGCTTGTACGCGGCTTTTTCGGCCCCCCCCCCCCCCGAAAAGCCCGATCCGGAGCGGCACATGTCGCGATGACACCTCGTCGCTCTTGACACGTATAAATAAGTACGTACCACGCCAGACGGCAGACCGCGAGTAGACCGCGGTCCGTCAGGGCGACAGCGCAGCGCTGGAGCGCACACAGGGGGAGGGGCAGACGAGAAACGCGGGCGAGGGGACACGCGGGGACCAGCACACGTCGTGCTCGCTTTTTCAAAGTGGAATAAAGCGAATAACTTCCAGAAAAAAGACACGAGCACGCCGACTCACAGAATGGCCTCAAACGCCGCGGCGCTCCTGCCGGCGCGCGCGGCCGCAATCGAGTGTGGAGCCGTGAACGGCGTCTCTGGCGCCGCGCGCGGCTCTGGCGCCGCGCGCGGCTCTGGCGCCGCGCGCGGCTCTGGCGCCGCGCGCGGCTCTGGCGCCGCGGGCGGCGCGGCGGCCCCATCTCCGCCTCCCTCGCCGGGCGAAGAGGAGCTGCACGTCGGCACGCAGCTGGGCTGCGGTGGGGCGGCGAGCGACGAGGACGACGCCACGCAGCCCGCGCTTGATGCTGCTGCTTGGGAGGCAACCCAGGGGGCAGAGGAGAGCCCGGCGGCTGCTCGATTCACCCTCGTCGGCGATGCTGCCGAGGCGCCGGCCTCGTTCACCCTGCTGTGCGAGCATGGCGCGAGGCTCGAGATTGGCCGGCTGCAACCCAGCGAGACGGCCGACCGCGTGCTCCTTTGCACCTCCAACACAAACGGCATCTCGCGCCAACACGGCGTGGTGCGCTACGACCGCCACCAGGGCGTGGTCTACCTGGGTTGCGCCCACTCCACGAGCGCGGTCACCTTCGTCAACTCGAGCCGGCTGCCGCCCGACGCTCAGCCTCGCGTCCTCGTCCAGGGAGACACGCTCGGCTTTGGCGGCAGCACCCTCTCGGCTCCCGGGATGGGGACTATCTCCTACTCGGTCGACCTCTCTTCGTTGCCGCCGCTCGTACCCGAGGTGCCCCTGTTCGCAGCTGCGCCCGCCGCCGCCGCGCCCGCCGCGGCAGGCGGCGAGCCCTCCTCGGCGGCGGCACAAGGGCCGGAGGTGGGAGAGAAGCGCGAGCGCGGAGAGAGAGGCGGGGGAGGCCGGCTGCTCAAGAAGGCGAAGGAGGGAGAGACGAGAGGCGCCGCGGCGGCGGCGGCGCCTGCACCTCTCAACGGCGCGCTGCAGGCTCAGAGGGCGCAGGCACACGATCACGCGCGCCAGCTGCAGGGGCTGGGCGGGCGCGATCGCGTTTGGGCTGGGCGGCTCCTCGAGTGCGCGGCGCAGAGCTACGGGCTCGTACAGGAGGCCGTGGCGAGCGGCGGCGGGGCGGACGCGCTCTTCCAGGCGGGAGAGCGCGTGCACTCGAAGATCGGCTCGCTCATGCGCGACTTCCGACACGAGAAGGGCGGAGACGAGCGCCGCGCCCATCAAGCCGCTCGCCAACACCAGCGGCGCGACGGGCGCCAGGGTCGCAACGGCGGCGCGGCCACCCACGCGCACGATCCTCGCAGCCGCGGCGGCGGCAAGGGGCGCGGCGGCGGCGGCAAGAAGGGGCGCGGCGGCGGCGGGCAGGGGCGCGGCGGCGGGCGCGGCAGGGGGCGCGGCGGCCGACAGTAAGGGCAGGTGCGCACCCCCGTCACATAAGCCCCCTATCACAGTAGCCCTCTTTCCCAGGTGAGGGACCGCCCACGCCCCGGGGTCGGTGGAGTGGTCCACGCCCGAGGGTTGGTGGTAAGATAGTCGTGGGGGGCGCGCCCGTCGGTGGTCCACCGGTCCGGTCCATCGGCGGGGTCATAACCGCAGCCTCTAGGCCGGGTGGGAGCCGACGCGCTTGCGCGCGGCGTCCTCTAGACAGGGGATTGGCGGGGGGAATGTCTGGCCGCAGTCCGACGCGCAGGGCGCGAGACGACACGCGCCGACATGTTCTCGGGACGCGCCACGCGCGAAGCGGACCTCCTTCCCTTCCTTAGCGGCCCACCGTCAGAGCCGATCCCAGTAGATGCGAGGAAGCCCTGTGAGACATGCAGTACCGCCCTGTCCCCGAAAGGGCTTGGCAGCGGCACCGAGAGATTGAGCAACTCGGGTACGGTCAGAAGCCGCATGTTATAGGGGTGACACGCAGCCGAAGGTCCATCCTGCTCGCCGAGTCGACGCTGGGGCCTGACGCGCGTGCGCGAGATGGCGCGGCCGCGCGCTTGCGCGCGGCCGGTGAGTGTGCGCTTGCGCCGCAATCCTGGCTGAGCGGGGCGTACCTGCGGCGCTTATGGGGGTCGTCCCCCCCACGGCGTGCGAGCCGCCACGGTGTCGTGGCGCGCCGCGGGGTCAGGCTCTGGATCAAGGTTCAGAGCGCGAACACTGGGGGGTCCCTCTCGCATGGGGGGCTGAAGATACGTGCCACTCCTTCCGGGAGACCGGCCCTTGGATCCTCCTCACCGTTACTAGTGCTGGCTGCCCATTTGTGCAGCTAGGTGTCCCACTAGCCACCGCGGATGTCTGCCGTGCAAAGCCAGGGGGCTGCGAGGCCTGTTCTCGCGGATTAGGTAAGTAGTTAGCGTCGGCTGATGGGTGCTTGTCGCGCGTGCGCGTATGTGCCTGGGTCGGGGGGGGGGCGCGGGTGGTGTGTCGCCCCCCTCCTCTTGCGTTAATGAAATTGGACAACAAGGGGAGGCTCCTGAGCTTGAGGGTTGAGCAGTGCAGCTGCGGGCGCTCGTGGGCGGCTGTGCAGTGGTGAGAGTGCCTGATTGGAGGCGAGCTGGTGCTGCGCCAGGGTGCGCAGGCAGCATGCGCTCTTGCTCTGTGCTGAGGCATGCTGGCTGGCGCCCAACACAATGCCCTGGATGCATTGCTCCACGCCGTGCTGGCTGGTGCAGTACTGCCAGTGCGCCGACTGGCGCGCAGGGTGCGCTTCGCCGCGCGTGGCACGGGTGGCTCGAGAGGCGCGGCTGTCGTTCAACCCCGCGGCGCATGTGCGCCGCGGAAGCTGCTCGACAGGCTGCGGGCATCGCTGCGGCAGAAAGCGCCCGCCCTCTGCTTTGCTTTCGCCCGCGTTTTACGACAACTTTCGGTTTATCATAGCCGCCGAACTTTACCTCGCTGTTTCTTTATAGTCGTCTCGCAGCTGCGTATTCTCGTATTATCTTCGAGTAGTTGCGTGGGGGCGGTATGTATTCTCGTATCAGTAGTTAGTGTCGTGTCCACTAGCTCCGAGTAGAGGGCAGCGTCCTGCAGTTAAGGGGAAACCTGGTACGCGGGGCTAACCCTCGGAGAGTATTCTTTAGCTCCGAGTAGAGGGGGCGTTCCGCAGCTAGGGGGACCCACAGCGCGAGGGAAAAATTCCGCCGCTGGGGGAAACCCGGAGCGCAGAACTAACCCTCGGAGACGTGTTATGGCCCTGCGACCGCGCACCCCCCCCTAGCTAGGGGTCAGGGCTCTCTAGCCCGTAGCCCGATGCCGATCATCCGGCCCGCTGGATGCGCTTCTCAGCTCACCGGCCCTGGATGTGAGGTTGCCGACTGCACTCCAAGTGCTCCAAGTACCGTGTTTACAATTCCGTGCACCCCCCCTAGCTAGGGGTCAGGGCTCTCTAGCCCGTAGCCCGATCCCGATCATCCGGCCCGCTGGGTGCGCTTCTCAGCTCCCCGGCCCTGGATGTGAGGTTACTGACTGCACTCCAAGTGCTCCAAGTACTTCCACTCTGGCATCGACCACACTCCTCTCCTTAAAATCCCTGTGTGGTGTGGCGGCGTGCCGTTCTCCCATCCCTCCCTTGGGTTGTGTGTTTTCTTTCTTTCTTTCTTTTGCTCGTCAGGCTCTCAAGGTTCACACTTTTTGTTTCTCGCTGGTTTCTCGAGGCCTGTATCAGCATTCAGCAATCACAGGCCTGTGCGCCCCCTTGCCCCAGACTGCAGGGAGTGCAGACCAGTCGCCCCCGCTTTGTGGGGGCTCCCCGCCCCCCCCCCCCCCCTCCGCTCTCCCCAGCGCAACCTCGCGATCTCGCCGCGACCCCACCCCGCCCCTCCCAAGTGTGGCGCTTCAGGGCAGCAGCACGTTGTCGATGAGGCGCGTCTCGCCCAGCTGGACGGCGATGGACGCCATGACCGCGCCGGCGCCGCCGAGCTTCTCGAGCTCGCGCCCGTCGTCGGCCGCGGCCAGAGAGACGTACTCGAGCGCCATGCGCGGCTCCGACGCGATCACGGCGGCGGCGCACGCGCGGAGCGCCGCCGGGGAGCGCTCGCCCGCCTTGTGCGCCTCGGTCAGCTTGAGGAGGGCGGTGTAGACGAGCGGCGCCGCCTCGCGCTCCTGCGGCGGGGAGGGGGAGGAGTGAGGAGCGGGAGGAGCGGACGGGGGAGTGAGGCGCCACCCAGCCCGCCCGTGCGTGCGTCACCCACCCCCCCACCCCCCCACCCACGCCCGCGGGCGGCGCGCGCCTCTTGGCTCAGGTGGACGTTGCGGCTCGACATTGCCAGCCCGTCGGGCTCGCGCACCTACTCCGGGGCGGAGAGTGTGGAGAGAGGCTGCTCGCACCTCGCTGGCCAGCCTCCCCCCCTGCCCTCGCGCGCCGTGTCGCCGACCACGACCTCGGTGTCGAAGTTGAGGCCGGCGACGAGGCGGCGCGCGAGGACGCACCTGCGGGGGGCGCGGGGCCGGGGCCGTGTCGCCAGAGTGGCGCGCGGGCGCGTCCTGCCGGTCGCGCGGCGCGGCGAGGGGAGGCGCACTGGAGGCCGTCCTTTTGCCCAAAGTAGACGGTGCTCGGCTGGAGAATGTTGAGGAGCTTGGTGACGACGGTGGCGACGCCGCGAAAGTGGCCCGGCCGGTGGCGCGCCTCGGGGAGGAGGTCGAAGCCGCTCACGTCGACGAAGGGCTGCGGCGACCCCTCCTCCTCGGGGTACATCTCCCCGGCGCTCGGCGCGAAGAGCAGGTCGACGCCCGCGGCGGCGAGCTTGGCGGCGTCCTCCTCGAGCGTGCGCGGGTAGCGCGCCAGGTCGTCCGCCTGTCGGGACACGCGGCACGTGTCAGCGCCGAGGACGTGTCGTGCCGCGGCGCCGGCAGGCCGTGCCGCCTTGTTGAACTGCTTCGGGTTGACAAAGACGGACGCGACGACCACGTCGCTCGCCTCGCGCGCCATCTCGACGAGGCGGAGGTGGCCGGCGTGCAGCGCGCCCATCGTCGGCACGAGCCCAACCCGCGCCGCGGCCAGCTCACCGCTCCGCTGCAGCTGCCGCCACTCGTCGATCGAGCGCACGAGCCGCAGCCCGCCGCGCTGCGGCTCGTGCGGCCGCGCGAGGGGCGCCGGCGAGGCGTGGCCGTTTGGGGCGCGGGCCCGCGAGGCGCGCGCGGGCGGGGCCGGCGGCGGGGGCGGCGGCCCAAACTCGGCCTCGAGGAGGCGCGTCTCGGCGTCCGACATGCCGAACGAGTGGCGGCGTGCGGGGAAGGAGCGGCGCTTGACGGCGGCGCAGTAGCGTCCGAGAGCGGCGCGCATCGGCCCCTCGAGCCGCGCGAACTGGTGCGAGAAGCGCGGGCTCAGCTTGTCGTAGAGGCCGAGCACGTCATGGAAGACCTGCACCTGGCCTGAGGTGCCGCCGCCGGCGCCGATGCCGATGGTCGGCACGCGCAGCTTCGAGGTGATGAGGGCGGCGACCGGGGCGGGGACCATCTCGAGGACGACCGCGAAGCAGCCCGCCTCCTGCAGCGCCTCGGCGTCCTCGAGGAGGGAGCGAGCCTCGGCGGCGGAGCGGCCCTGCACGCGGTACCCGCCCAGCTGCGCGACGGACTGCGGCGTGAAGCCGACGTGCCCCATCACCGCCAGGCCGGCGTCCACCATGGCGCGCACCTGCGCACCACCACGCGCGAGGCTGAGGCCACGCGCAGGCTGACGCCGCGCGCAGGGCGAGGCGAGGCGCGCCCACAAGGGACGGGCGGGCGGGGCGCCGCTGCGGCACACCGCTGCGCCAGGCGGGGAGGGCGGGAGGCGGGGAGGGGCGGCAGGCGGGGAGGGGCGGGAGGTGGCGCGCGTGCCCGTCCACTACTCCCGGGCGAGAGGGGGGGGGGGGGGGGGGGGCTCGGCCACCTTGCCGATCGCCATGCCCCCCGCGAGGCCCATGATGACCCACGCAAAAATGTTGGTGCCGAGGCCCCAAATCTGGACCACCCAAACCTAGGCCCCGGCGGTGAAAAGGGCGGCGGCAAGGTACATGCCCTTCTCGAGGGCCCACATGAGGGTGCCTAAAGGAGCAGCCGTCGCGGGCGCGTCACGGGGGTGCCACGGCCGGCTCCCCCCCTCTGGTGGAAAGGGCGGCAGGGGTGCGGCTGCCCAGGTGGACCTCCCACCCCTTGCCCTGCGCGCTGGTGTTGACTGCCAAAAAACCGATGGTGGAGGCGACCATTCCCACGGCGGGCAGGAGGAAGGCGAGCGCGATGGCCTGGGTGCTCTTGCCCTGCAG